ACCCATCCCCCCACCCCCCTCCCCTCTAGAACCCTCAGTTTGTTTCTCAGAGTCCATAGTCTCTCATGGTTCATCTCCCCCTCCAATTTCCCCCCTTCATTTTTCTCCCAGGGAAATATTTTATACTGACACCATTTCAATCAGTACTTGAATTCGGCCTTACGTATCTGATGTTATTTCTGTACTTCTGACGACAAATTCTATAATGCAGAGTAATGGTTCAAATTTTGATTTCAATCTTGATGTTAGTTACCTTTTCCAAGCCTGTTTCCTCATCTGTATAGACAGGAATAATGCTTAGTGCCTCCCAGGTAATTCTGAGGATTAAACAAAATCACGTTCTACCGACAGCACTTGGTGCAGCTCAGGGCAGAGCGCCACGCTCATTCACAGGGGGGCCATAGTCACGCAGCATTGCATGCTTAGGGAATGCATCTTCTCATTACCACCGTCTTCACCATCATTATATTGATGATGATGATGTTGATGATGATGACAAAATGTATTAAACTCTTTCTCAAGAGGTCCTTCAGAAGGCAGCAGGCCTTGTGGGAGCCACAGACAGAGAATCCCACCAAAGTGGCTCTTGATAGCTTCTTTCATTTTGTACTTTAGAAATGTTTAGAATGTATGTTTCCTGTTTATCTGTTCATTTATTCATTCATCCTTTCAACAATATTTTTTAAGCCCTTACTATATACCAGGCACTGCTCTGGAACCCGGGGATATAACAGTGAACAAAATAGATGAAATCCTCTACCTTCATGGAACTTATTTATAGTCTAATGAAGAGAAACAGACACTAAACGAATTCTCTAGGAAATATGTAATAGTATGTCCAGTGATGACAAGTGCTATGAACCAAAAATAAAATATTTTAAAAATAAAAATTAGGGGATAGGAGAGCAGCAGGGAAAGGGGTGAGGAGACCTGCGTGGATAGGAAAGTGGCAGTTTTAAATAGGATGGTCAGGTAAGTCTTGCTGAGATGAACTCTGGGCAAAAATCCAAACAGATTAGAGGCTGAAGCAAGGGGATCTCTGAAGCATAGCTGGGTAGGGTGTGTCCCAGGCAGAGGAAACAACAAAAGACCTCAAGCCCATGTATGCTTTGTGTGCTTGGGAAACAGCAAGGAGGCCAGTGTGTGGAGCAAAGCAAGGGTAGCTGTCAGAGGATGAGGTGAGGCTAGGGGTAGGGTAGACCGTATAGGCCCTGCTGGTCCCATCGGGCAACCAGTAGTGTTGGGAGGCATCCTAAAGCACAGCATAAAACCACATTAGCCATATTCCAAAATTCCCCCCACAGCCCTGTGCGAATCTGGCATCTGAAGGGAGAATATTCATAGAGCTTGGTACTTCCAATATACCGTGTCACTGAATCCTGAGTCCTTGCCACATCCTGTGATATTATAATTTTCCCCATGTTAGGATTGAGAAACTGATTCAGAGATGCTAAGTGCCTACGTACTAAGTGGTACAACTGGTATATATCAGCTGGGTTTGAATCTAGTAATCAGCATTTTTTTCCCAAACTGTCCTTAACATTGCTGCTTCATTATTTGAAATCATGACCCAAGATCTGTGCATTTTACTATTTGGAAATTTTATTTCAAATAAGTCAACAAACAAGTAATATGACATACTTTTCCCAAATCTTGCTCTGGGGCTCGGGAAGGGGAGGTGTACCTCTAACCAAAAACCAAAAATAAAACAAAAAGGAACATAGCATCTGAGAGCCCAGCACATAATAGTCAACACTGAACTTAGTTTCAGGAGACCCTGATACTAGTCCCCTTGAGGATGGTTTTATACCAACAAATACTTGAAAACAATCTAAATGTTCACCAGTAGGGAATTAATTATGTTGACCTTTGAACAATGCAGGGGTTAGGTGTGCCAACCCCTTGCACAGCTGAAAAACCCTGTATAACTTTTAACTCCCCCCAAATTGAACTATTAATAGTCTACAGTTGACCAGAAGCCTTACTAGTAACATAAACAGTCAATTAACGCATATTTTATATGTTACATGTATTATATGCTGTATTCTTACAATAAAGGAAGCTGGAGAAAAAATGTTATTAAGGAAATCATAGGGAAGGGGCGCCTGGGTGGCACAGTTAGTTAAGCATCCAACTTTTGGTTTTGGTTTAGGTCATGATCTCGGGGTCATGAGATTGAGACCCACATGGGGCTCTGCGCTCAGCACAGTCTGCTTAAGACTCTCTCCCCCTCTCCCTCTGCCCCTACCCCGCGTGTGTGCACGCGCGCTCTCTCTCAAATAAATAAATAAATCTTTAAAAGAAAAAGGGGTGCCTGGGTGGCTCAGTCGGTTAAGTGCCTGCCTTCGGCTCAGGTCATGATCCCAGGGTTTTGGGATCAAGTCCCGCATTGCGCTTGCTGCTCAGCAGAAAGCCTGCTTCTCTCTCTACCTTTCCCCCTGCCCATGCTCTCTATCTCACTCTCTCTCTCTCTCAAATAAAAATAAATAAATAAATAAAAGAAAAAGAAAATCATAAGGAAGAGAAAATACATTTACAGTACTGTATTGTAAAAAATCAGTGGACCCCCACAGTTCAAACTCCTTATTGTTCAAGGGCCAACTGTAAATTGGTATAGCAATATATGAAAAACTAGGCAGACCCTAAAAATTGTACATGTTTATGTTTATTGCCGTAGGAAGACATACCATATATGTATATGAAATGGGAAAATAATGAGGTTAGGTAACACTATGGGTGATATCTCATTTTTGGAGAAACTGAGGGAAAAATAGTTGATTTTCATACAAATGCCTGGATTAAACTACATTTTTCTCATCAGCCTCAGAATGTTCCAGATTGTAGAAAAATAATTAAGCATTATTAATTTAAGCCTCTGCATATTTCATCAAGTTCAAGCAAATCTCCTTACACTCTTAGCCAATTATTTTTAAATTGCTGCCTGATTGTTCCCTATGGGATACCTCCCAAAAGGCCTTCAAAATTTAATTTTGTGCTGTTAGTCAGAGACCTACTCTGTGTGAAGTCAAAGGACTGACCTGAAAAGATAGCGAAAATGGAGAACAAAATGCTTTAGCTCTTACTTTTACACTGTAACAATGTAACATCTTTGGTGAGAAATAAGTTGTTTTCAAATTCCTAGCTTTAGAATGTCTCTTAAAAGCACTGTATTTTCTAGGTGCTATTTATTTAGATGAGCTTTTTTTTTTTTAGAGAGGTGGGGAAGAGAGAGAATCTTCAGCAGGCTCCACCCTGGGCATGGAGCCTGATGAGGGGCTCAATGACTCAGGGGCTCCATCTCACAACCCTGAGATCATAACCTGAACCGAAATCAAGAGTTGGATGCTCAACCAACTGAGCCATCTAGGCGTCCACTATTTAGATGAACATTTAAAATTATATTTTGATATAAAAAATGGTATCTTCCTATCTTATATCACTTTTTAATTTGTAATATTCTGGGTAACAAAACTTTAAATTTGTTTATTTCAAAATTTATGACATTTTAAAAAAGTATGAATATCTTAATCATTTGGCCATATAAAATATCCTTTCAATATATATATAATATCTAATATAAATATATCTAATTCTATATGCATTTCACAAAGATAAAATTCTGGACATTCTGATTTGACATCACAATTAAGTTGCATTTAAGATTTTAAACTTACCTCCTCCTTGTATCCAACCATTTGGTACTACTCGATGAAAAATTGAACCTACGTAATGTAGCCTGATGCCACTTTGAGAATACCCTGCTTTTCCTGTGCACAACATCTGAAAGTTTCTACATGTTTTGGGACATGCATCACAGTATAGCTACAAATAAAAATAAAAGGTTTCAAAGATTAAATATTTAATATTTTGACAGTTATAGATTCCTACTTCTACCTCCCACTTATTAAAAAAATAACAAAAATAAATAAGAACAAAAAGCCTTTTACCTCAAAAACCAGTCTTCCAATTGGATAAAAATCAACAGAAATGTCCAAGAACACAAAAGCATGCTATTAAAATTAGGGAGAAAAAGATAATGCAGGTCAGTGTCTGGAAGAAAGTTTTAGAAATGACCAAAAATACCACAGAATAATGTTTTCAGTGATAAGATTTCAAAAGCAAGGACACCTGGGTGGCTCAGTCGGTTAAGCATCTGCCTTCGGCTCAGGTCATAATCCCAGGGTCCTGGGATCGAGCCCCACATCGGGCTCCCTGCTCAGCGGGAAGCCTGCTTCTCCCTCTCCCGCTCCCCCTGCTTGTGTTCCCTCTCTTGCTGTGTCTCTCTCTGTCAAATAAATAAATAAAATCTAAAATAAATAAATAAATAAAACCCTTTAGTAGTGAAGCTTTGAATAATTTTAACCTACACACCAGACAGAGAACACATGGCCTAGATATCCCCTACATTGCAAGCTAGGTGTGGAAAGGAACACTAGTTGGTCCCTTTGGGAAAAAGGACAGAATTTTCTGTCCTGAGTAATTTTGGGAAACATCCAGCATGAGTGCTATGGATTTGGTTACCATATATTCTCGATTTTGAGAGAGAGCACCAATTAGCTACCCAGAGCCAGGTCACGTCCTTTCTGAGTGGGAAAACGACGACACCATACCCATAGGAGGTATGGGACCAGGGGAAGGGAAGAGAATATGCTGTGCTTTCGTGTTATTTCAGTCATGCTCATTTGGCATCCTTTCTGATAGAGACAGCTAACATTTGTGTGATCTCGTCTAGCTCTACAAAGAGGCATCCAAAATGAAAACACAGTCTCCATCACAGTAGCATTCATTTAGGGAGCAGAGTGCACCTGATGGGATACATTTCAAATCTTGGGCACCATTCTTATACATAAAGGTGCCACCTGATTTAACAAGCTACATAACTTGCCCTGCCCTATTTCTTAAGAATCTAGGAAACATAAATGAAATCACTTTTACGGTATCACTGTCACTACTTTATGTCACTTAAGCCTTTTTTTTTTTTAATTAAGAGACTGTAATAATATTGTGTTATCTGGCATCCAGGAAGTATTATGTCCATAGTAATTATGATTAACTTTTTTGTGCCTCTCAGCTTCTGTACTACAAGTTCTGAATTATAAAAGAATAGTATAACTTTATTATAAGAGGCATAATATAATAAACAACAGGCTTGGGTGGAAAAAGAGGATATACTGGAAATCACGATTAATTTATGAAATGGGTAAGTCCATTCGGGCATCATTAAACTTCCCTCTGTGTCAATATATTATCTTTATGCAGTTGTCAAGAGTAGATAATTGGGACAATTCTAATGAAAGAGCAAATAAGCACAACACAAGGTAATGTCACCTAGCAGCCAAACATGCAAACATAATTATCTTGTATATCATTGCAACCCAGAAGTAAACAAGTCCCTGCAGCAAGAAAAATCTAGCCTCTGCACAAAAAAATTTAAGGATTTTCTCTGGAATCCAGGTCCCCCCTCCTCACTGCCATGAATTCAGGCTGTCATCATCTCTAGACCACACTACTATAGCAGTGTTCCAAGTGGTCACCCTGCCACCAAGGTCTCCCTACTCCACCCTGTTTTTGCACAGCCCTAAAACTTTTTCCAAAAAAGCAAAGATTATGTCATACTCTTTATGAAAAGTTCTGTTGGCTCAGCTTCCTTCTAGAAAAAAAGCTAACTCCTTAGTTCAGAATGGAGTTCAGAATGGACTAAGTTCAACCTTTCTTTAGTGGATTTTTTTTTTCTCTCCCTCTTTAACACCTGGGGATGTTTCCCTTTGGGGAACTCTCTACGGGACCCACCACCCTCTAAAGACACTAAAGGGGCCAGATTCTCCCTCCCCCCACTCTGTGAGAGCGAGGGTGTGGGGATATGATTTGGGCTGGATTAGTCAGGTGCTCCTGCCTGGGGCCTTGGATGTCCAGGGAATGATGCAAAGACACCAGTTGAGAAGGAATTCTCAGTGAAGGTGGCAATGTGAACCCAGGGCCAGTGGGCCCCCATGGTAGCATCCTAGCTGCACATTTCCGGGACGTGACTCTAGCCACGTTTTCCTGCTGACAGGCCTCCCTTGGTTCCCACCTGCTTTCCAAAACCTGGTTCTCCAGCTTTCCTGTCAATTGTGAGGTTACCAATATCCTTTCAATGCATCCCTTTTGTCCTTAAGTAGCTTGGTATGGTTGGTGACTGATACTCATTTTCCCAGGCTCATTTCCTATTAATTCTGGCCTCTTTGATGTCCCTTCCCTTCCCTGAATACCCCATGCACTTTTAGACCCTTGTCCTTTTGGGAATTAACTGCTGTGAACATTACATTCCTCCCCATACCCCAGAGTTTCTAGTATTTTCCAAGTGCATTGTTTATTCAACCAGACATTCACTGAGTCATGCTATGTTTCAGATTGTGTTCAAGGCAGTTAACAGTTAAATGAGGATGAAGGAAACAAAGGTCTTTGCCTTTTTACAGCTCAAATCCTAGCACTGGGTCTTTCTGTGGGCACAGGCCACCATAAGCAGGAAATGATTTTCAGCATATGGTTCTTGTGGCTATAACAAGCTTCTGAGCAAAATTACAAAGTACTTTTACCTCTATTGCCATTCCACCCTGATGTCTGTCTCTCACTCTCCTGGACCTCACGCTTCATGACTGTCTATTGGAAACCTCCCCAGGGCCTTAGCTTGTCTGGTCCTGCTCTTGCCAACTATGTGTCATGCTTTAAAATGTCACCTTTTGGGGTGCCTGGGTGGCTCAGTCGGTTAAGCATCTGCCTTCGGCTCAGGTCATGATCCCGGGGTCCTGGGATCGAGCCCCGCACCGGGCTCCCTGCTTAGTGGGAAGTATGCTTCTCCCTCTCCCTCTGCCCCTCCTCACCCCCCACTTGTGCTCTTTCTCTCTCTCTCAAATAAAATCTTTAAAATGTCACTTTTCTTCTCAAATTTTTCATTCTCTTAGTGCAGTACCTCTCACTTAGGTGTTAGACAGTCTAATTAAAATTTTTCATACTAAGGGTGAATGGATGATAGGCTCGAACTTCTCTGAAGCGGGGGGGGGAGCTCTTTATGTTTTAAAATGGATAATTAATGCATATAAATCTCTAATGGGGAGTAGAAATGTTTGAACAGGGATGCTCTCCCCCTGTGCAGTCTGCCTGCTGTGAGGTATGCTTGCTTTGCAAACTGTTGAGCCAAATCCTGCAACATTATATATAATCCTTTGCAACTGGATTATAGGCCACTGAGAACTTAAAACCTACTCTTAAACGTTTATATTCCTTTGTTAGGATATCAGTTATTTATGCTGAATCAATATAAATGATCAAAGATTCCACTATTTTTCTTTAAAAATTAGTGTAACTTGCCTTGGTGTCTGTTAAGAATTTAGCAGAATAATCCACAGTAAGTGCCTCATAAAGTTCAGGGGGCTTAAAATCAACTACATCCCACATCTTGTGAGCCCATTTCTGAAGATCAAATGCATCACCCAGGAGCTGATCGTTAACAAAACACATCACGTAGGAAGAATATTCCCAGATTTCATTCTTGAGTTCCTATAAAGGAAAAGGATTAAAAAAAAAAAAAAACTGTATTGGGGGGGCGGGGAACCAACCTTGCTATAAACCCACAAGCCAGAGCCCAACTGGGATAGACTCTAACTGAATCTTTAAAAAAAGGGATTTTTTTTTTTGGCTATATTTTCGAATTTTGCTCTCAAATAGAATTTAAGAACATTTTTAAGAATCTGATATCACTGAAAGCAAAGAATGACCTAAAAGTAAATACTAAAAATGGTACAGTCATTGAAAGTAGACAGTGATCTGGTAATAAAAATCTGTATGCATAGCATACGTGTTATGTTAACTTGAAAACAAAATGTAGTCTCTGGCTTCATTTCTGAAATACAGTTTACTGTGTGTATACTTGGAAAGGGTAAGGATTCTGAGTAATACCTGGTTTTCAGTGCCAAGGATGGAAAGAATGCTTTTTTGAGGGAGTGGGGTCAGGGAAAGGAAATGCCTCCTGGGGGCCAGCAGGGACTTCTGGTGGACCCCAGGTGTAAGGAGGGAGAGAACTCACCTTTGTCAACACTTCCAAGTCTAAGCCCCTTAAAATGAAGTGCATTTGTGTGTTTATCCAAACACTAACAGTCAACCTCCTGAATTCCAGTGTGTGACCATGAGTAATGGCCCCTCAGAAGATAGATCTGGTTTATTATGACCCAGTGCCAGTCCTGGCAAAAGTATGAATAATTTGGGACAGCTGTTCTCAAATTTTAGCAGGCAAGCAGAATTACAGATTCCTGAGCCCCACCCGAGTTTCTGATTCTGATTCCGGAATGGGGCCTGAGAATTTGCATGTCTAACAACATCCCAGGAGATGCTGACGTTGCTGGTCTGGAGACCACACTTGGGGAAATGCTGGTTTGGGGAACAGTTTGCCTTCAGCTTGCCAATTTGCTGCACTCCCCGCTCTTCTCCCAGATTTCATATCCCATTCCAACACCCATATTAAAACCTAGTTTGAGGAAAAGAATAAACTTCCTGAGGCTGAACTATAAATCACTGATAAAGCCTGTGGGTCAATAGTCCCTAAACGGTTTAGATTTATCGGTGTTATCACATTTTATAGAATGCAAAACTTTAAAAAGGGATATTTATTTAGCCCGGGTATGGCTAATGTGGATATTTATTTAGCCTGGTGGGAGAAATGCAGTAGAAGGTACACTTTACTCGGAGGCTGATGATGTAGATGCCTCATCTTTGTGTGTCGTCTGTGCATGAGGAGGCTTCCTCTCACGCTTAAGATAGTGTCCTGGACCCAGTGGTTTCTGGGGCTTTCCAGCATTGAGACATAAGATGCTGCCTTCTTTGGAGGGAAGAGAAAAGCTTTTCCAAAGGCCCAGAAGCCACCACTCAGGGGAGGCATTACATTCTGCTGAAACATAAGGCCAGCGCACACCTAACCTCAGATGTGCTAAGAGCACTACATATGACACAAGGCACAATGCTTACATTGAGGAAGGCCGAAAACTGGCCTGAAACAAGAAAAGGATAAAGTGACAAGTGTCCAAGAGATGAGGGTGAGAAAAGGAAGAAAGGAAGGATAGGAAATAAAGAGTAGGTGGGAAGAAGCAGCAGTGATTACCTAGAAAGCCTCATTCAGGCCCCATGAGAAAAGCAGAAGGAAGAGAACACAAAACATCCCAAGGTCAGTAAACCCAGGCTGAAGTGGCTGGAAACTGCGGAATGGAATCCACAGCAGTCTTTAAGAATCCAGTGGGAATCTGTAAAAGGAATGGGTGCAGACCACAAAGCACGAGATCATGGCTCTCCTGTAGGTGGACAGTATGAGACTGGTAGGCAGTGTAAGTAGTTTGGTGATAAAAAAAAAAATTAAACATATTTTTGTTAAGGTAACCAACTGTCTTGACCAGCTAGCTGTCCCAGTTTGTCTAGGACTGTCCCAGCTTTAGCTTTGAAATTCCTGCTCCCAGGAAAGCCCTCTGAACTAGGCAAAGCAGGACCACTGGTCACCCCAGTTGTTGTAAGGATTGGAGTTCATATATACATAAGTCAAGAGAATAGCATCTGGCATATAATAAGCACTGTGTGTAGATGTTTGCTGCTGTTCTATCTGAATTCCAATGAGAATGTATCATGGCTCTGAAAATGGTAAGACTTAAAAAATGCATTGTGGCCTCCGTCCTGCAGCACTCACGTGAGTGCACAGTGCCATGAGACCATACAGCAACACTGTAGGATAACCACAGGGTCACAGGACGTCCTCGTGCAACCACTGCTCTGGTCAGGGGACATGGGATTTCATCAGCCACTGGGGAGATAGGGTGGGGCAGGGAAACCAGGACTGGGACTTCACGGCTCTGGGCCAGGGATGGCAAGCAGGAAGTGTACCCCATTCCCACCTCACCCCAACAGGAGGTACGGCTGGGCCAGGATGCCACCTTAGAACTCTTTGTATCACATGTTCTAGGCAGAATTACCAAATGATCAGGGTTGGTACCCGAGAGGAAACCTATCTGCCCTCCTTAGGCAGGCTCTGCTAGCCCTGGGGCCTGGGGTTCTCCAAGGGTGCTGTTAGTGGGGAGAAGGCAGAGAGGAAGCTTTAGTTAGGACAGGGCTGCCCTGTGGGAACTTGGTGCCTGTCATCAGAGCTCCATAGGCCACAAGCTCCCCCCCTCCCCTGCCCCGCACAAGCCCCACACTGTGTCTGTGCTGTAGACCACCAAGACCTTCCAAAGTAAGGACCACGAGTGCCAAGGTGTCACAGGAAGTGTGAGTAAGCAGTGTGCAGGGAGAGCGGGCTAACCATCAGCTGGGGTACATAGCAGCATTGAGAGTCTAAAACTTACCTTTATCACATGTCTTCCAAAAGAAAGTCCTGTAAATATTTTACTTTTTCTTAAAATCAGCCTGGTAAAATGATTGAAATGATTTAGGAAAAGTATATAATTTAGAGAAATCAAATCAAGTTGCTCTAAAATCACTGCTCCAGTTTTTCCAAAACAATGCATAGATGAATAACTGAGGCAAAACTCTGTTCATTGCCCATACCCCAAATATTCTTTACCCGTTTTTTCTCCTGTAGATATTGATCCCATGCAAATTCTTGAAGAGGAACTACTATAGGATCTTCAAATTTGGATGGATAATTACTCTTCAGAGTCTAGGTTTCAAAATAGAAATAATTATTTTAGAGTAAGTTCTCTTTTAAGGTAGAAATCATTTCCCCCAATTTTTATGGGGGCTTCAGGAGGTTTTATACAGTGCATACCCAGGCCACACAATCTGGCTTAGATGCCCCCAGAGGCCCCTGTGCTTACCTCCATTAATTCACTCCCCAGCTCATCCTGGGGCTCTGGCTTATTTGGTCTCTCATTTCTAGAGTATAAGCTCCTTGAGGGCCAAGACTATATCCTAGTTTTCCTGTACTCCCACTGGCCTCAACATCTGGCACGTAGTGGACCATCCACACATAGCAAATGAATGAGGAAATGAACAAATAAATTTTGATTTGCCATGTTCTTTTAGGACCAGTTTTTCCCTAAATTAAACTCTTACTAAACTTTAGGGGATCTACAGATACTTTTTTTAATGAAAAGAAGATGTTACTTTATTTTAACTAGTGTTTTATCAGTTTCAGGTGTACAATATAGTGATTCAACAATTCCATACATCACCTGGTACTCATCAGGACAAGTGACCTCCTTAATCCCCAGCCCCTGTTTAACCCATCCCCCTCCCTCTACAGATAACTTTAAACTAAAATAAATGTTATTATTTTAATTTATCGATATGTGGAGAATGACCAAAAGGATATTGCTGTGGTTACACCCCTTGGGAAGAAGTGAAATAAATATGTTTAGGCTTAGATACTGAGCATGTTTTGGTGTAACATACATTATTTTGTCTATACAAATCAGAGAAAATTCTTACTGGTTAACAATTCCTGTCAAAAAAACAAAGTTTTGCTTCCTGGTATGTTGCATTTTGCCTCCTGGTCAAGCGAGAGAAGGCAGAGGAGGCCCTAAGAGGCCTCACATTTCTGAGCAGGGCAGAGGAGGAGATCTGTCCCACAAGGAACAGTGACAGCAGGCTGCTGCAGTGGGCACCTTCTCCACTAAGGATGCTGCTTAGTGGTCTGACTGTGGCCTAAAAGAGGACATTGGCCTGGCATGTTTCATTAGGGGTGGGTATTCCAAGGCGGAGAAAGCCCTTGGGACCAGGGGGAGCTGAAGAGGGCAATAGCAGTTGGGTCATTTCCTTCTTAGACTCCTGCCCAACCAACAGATGATGATGTGTCCTTTGTCACAGTTCCAGGGTCCGTGCTTAGTTTGAGGCAATTGTGTTTCTAACTGGGGGGGGGGGGACCATCTGGGATAACTAATAAGCCCAACAGTTTTCAAATTAAGCATCATCATACTTTCTTCATAAGTTAGTGTCTAGAATGGACTACATCCAAATTAGAATCTATGTAATACTCTTCACAAATCTAAATCTCCGACAGTAAATTAGGTATTCAGGATTGCTTACCAAAGGATCATGTTGAGAAATTATTCAAAGCCATATCCTTTATTAAGGTCGAACTAACTCAATTTACACTGATAGGTTTTCATATTCAAATAGAGCTACAGTAGGCAAAAGCTCAAGAAAGGGAAAATTAACATTACTAATGTAACAAAGACATTGTTTTCTTGACTTAGCATCCTCTACAACAGGGGTTGGCAAACTGTGGCCAGCAGGCCAAATCTGCCTGTTTTCCTAAGACTTGAAAGCTAAGAAGAATTTTTAGATTTTAAGCAGTTGAAAAAGAAAAAAGAATCATCTTTCCTGTCATGTGAAATTATATGCAAGTCAAATTTCAGTATTTATAATTAAGTTTTATTGTTAAACCACCATTCATTTACATATTGTCTGTGGCCACTTTTGTACAAGGACACAGTCTAGTAGTCGTGACTGAGAGCCTATGGCCCTGAAGACCTAATAATTTAACATCTAGGCTTTACAGAAAAAAATTGCCAACACCTTCTCTACAGTGTGGAGCAGGCACAAAAAACATGTGCCCTCAGAGAAGGAGCTAAAGAAAAACAAGGTATAAAAATTCCTTAAATACAACTTGAGCCATAAACTTTATAGATCCCATCAGCCCAGCTAACAGCCCATAATTTCTACTTATTTTGATGATCCATGTATCGTTTTCACAGACATTGCTTGTTCTCTTCCTCTTGATGTAAACTTCACCTGTTTCACAAATTAGTTACTGTGAAACTGAGCAAAGGAAACCTCACTTAAAATGGAGTCGGGAGGCCAGAAGGGGGAGCTCTCATGCTTTACCACCACCGCTCCTCAATTGCAGACCCCAGCAGGTCAGGAAGAGACAAACCTTGTATTCCCAACAGGAATAAGTCTATTTTACTCCTCCAGCAGAAGGAAAGGAGAATGTCTCCTTGCTAAGCAACAAGCACAGCCAATACCACAATCAGCCAGTGAGACTTTCACCACCCTGAACTCTCACTTTCTATCAGTGGAGTTTTCTTCAGAGCAACCCCTCCCAGCGTCCTCCTTTTCTCTATAATGTACCTGTCGTTTGATCTCCCAGATTGCCTTTGGTTTGCCATCGCTTCTATGTCCCAAATTGCTATTCCTATGCTATTATCAAATAAACCCATTTTGCTGGTAAAATAACTGTTTTACTTTTAAGGTCGACAGTTTATTTCTTCACTTGATATAATTACAAACTTTTCTTTAACTCTGCGGATTTAGAGCCGGCAGGAAGGCAGGAATTGCTTAAGATTTCTTCTATTTGAGAACATTTTGTGTCAGGTATCCAGCTGGATGGTTTGGGGTACACAAACATGGACAGGGCATGGTCCTAGAGTCTGGTGGGGTTTTGAAGGAAAGAATTTTGGCATAATCTTAACAGTAGCATTCCCGGAGTAAACCCCAAAGATGTGCTGAATTCTGCATTTCTCCTGCATTTGGGTAGTATGTGTGCTGCACCACGGCGGACCTGGCCAAGGTTCCCCAGTTGCTTAAAGTGTTTTTCCTTTTATAGCGTTCCGTGTGTTTACAAAGAAATACCTGGATTCTCCAAAGCACTTGTAGGTCATTTGTTGAGAATCCCTTAAGAACCTAATTCGAGGGGCACCTGGGTGGCTCAGTCGTTGAGCGTCTGCCTTCGGCTCAGGTCATGGTCCCAGGGTCCTGGGATCGAGCCCCGCATCGGGCTCCCTGCTCTGCACGAAGCCTGCTTCTTGCTCTCCCACTCCCCCTGCTTGTGTTCCCTCTCTCGCTGTGTCTCTCAGTCAAATAAATAAATAAAATATTGAAAAAAAAAAACAAACCTAATTCGATTGGAATGCAGTAAATGCTAGAGAAAATTTAGAGGGGGACCCAAAAAACTTCCCAAATGAAGTTTCCAAAAATCACCTAGGAAGGGAGTTCGTAAAAAGAAACAAACAAAAATCAGTAGTTATACGGTATCACTTCTTCCTAAATATTTTTTCATGAATTTTTAAAATCCATAACGCAAGTAAAAATTGATGTGGAAATAAAATAGGTGGATATCTAGAGGGGGGAATTACCCTCCCTCACCCAGCAAGGTTCTGAACTTTTCCTTCGCTCCGATCCCGCTTTAAAGGTAGCCCTTCTCGAAGTGGAACGTCCAGCCGACGACCCTGCCCCCTGGGAAGTACAGACAGAGCCTACTCGGACGGGACACATCCCTACCTCCCGGAACATCGACCTCTGTCACCAGGAGGCGCGAGACCGGGAAACCGGAAGGGCCACCCGCACGTGTGGTTTTCTCGCGGTTACCTCAGCAGCGCTCTTCGCAATCTGAAAGCTGGAGCTTTTGAAGAGCCCCACCACCTTCACCTGCAGCGGCTGCTCGGGCGGCGACTGCGAGCGGCACCGGGCCGACCTTGGCCGGCACTGCTTCGGGCTCGCCATGGCGGCGCTGGGGGACTGCTCCGAGCACAAACACTGCGCGTCGCCGGGGCAACCGCGCGGCTCCGCCCCCGTCTGCAGCTGGGAGGAAGGACGCGAGTGGGCCGGCGGCGACGGCCGGGTCTTCTCTCAACTTTGCGCCTGTTGCTGGTGAGCCGGGCGAGAGGCGGGAGAGGGCGCGCGGGCGGCCGTGGCCGGGGGACGGAGCTTCTGCGAAAAGGAACGGGGAGCTCCGCCGAAGCCCCGCGTGCCTCGGCCCGGCTGGCAGCCCACCCGAACCCCCTCTGGTATCCCCCCTACAGGGACGCCGCGCGGCCCCCGTCTCCCGGCAGCGCCAGATTTCGCAGTAGATCGCTTTTCCGGCTTGGCGGGCAGCCAGTTGCGGGGGGGGCGGGGGAAGGAGGAGGCAGTGGGCTGGTAGCCCGTGCAACGCGGAGTCGGACTCCGCCCAGGGCCTGAGCCGCGCGGGCTGGGAGGCCGGGGCCTTCCGGGGAGCACGGGGGCGGGGCCGACCACCTGTGCGCACGGCCCCGGGAGGAGGCGCCGCCAGTCCGCACCGCTTCCAGCCGCAGCCGTCGCCGGGGAGGCGGTGTTGTCCAACGCCTGCGGAGATCGCTCGCCATGAAGCCCAACTTCTCTCTGCGACTGAGGATCTTTAACCTCAACTGCTGGTGAGAGCGCCCGCGGGGTGGGTCCGGGGCCACAGCTCCATTCGCACCCACAGCCAGAGGACGGAAGCCTCCCTCACATCCGGGCCACGGCTCTACCCTGTCCTCCAGTCTCCGGGGGCGGGGGGCACCCGCGCCTCCAGGCCCACACCGGCCCCGGCTCCCGCGGTGCACGGAGAGCGCAGCGCCTCCAGCCATCACCTTGCCTGGCCCTTCTCGTCCTCAGGGGCATTCCCTACCTGAGCAAGCACCGGGCCGACCGCATGAAGCGCCTGGGAGACTTTCTGAACATGGAGAGCTTCGACCTAGCTCTCCTGGAGGAGGTGGGCAGTGTGGAACTGGTGTGGAACCCTGACTGGGACGGGGTCGGGGGCGGCTGGGGGCGCAGGAGGGGACGTTTCCCGGGGGGCGGGCAGGCAAGCATCCTCGCCTCTTCCCTCAGGTGTGGAGTGAGCAGGACTTCCATTACCTGAGACAGAAGCTGTTGCCCACCTACCCAGCTGCACACTATTTCAGTAGGTGAGAAGCCTACCTAACCCGTCTGGAAGCTTGTTCTCAGATCGGGAAGCTTTCGGTCCTACCAGCCCTTCCCTATCCTGCCCGCATCCTCCTTCCTCTTTCCCAGAGCCCTCTCCTCTGGGTGTGGGTGCAAGAGTAGGTGGAACCGGGAAGATGCGCGCTCTTCAGCCCATCCCAAGCCTTATCAAGTCACTCTGTCGTCCCACGGAGACTCTTGCTTTGAGCTTTGCTCTGGTGCTGATCTCAGCAACAAAACTGAGATAAAAAGTAGCTGATACAGCTGGGAGAGGAGGGAGGGGAAGGCTGGGTCTTTCTCTTTCTGCTTTTCTGCCCGTTAATCAGGACTTGGTTTGCAGTGGTGTCATCGGCAGTGGTCTCTGCGTCTTCTCCAAACATCCTATCCAGGAATTCACCCAGCACGTCTACACCCTCAATGGCTACCCCTACATGGTAAGCCTTATGTCAGATTTCTTCCTCCTCCCTTTCCCACCCCCCAGTAACACATGGTAAAGGAGGCAGCCTTCCCCGGGCTGCAGGGGGTGGGCAGAAAGAGGGTGGCCATGCCCTGAGTTCCTGCTCCCTCCTGCCTGCAGATCCATCATGGAGATTGGTTCTGCGGGAAGGCTGTGGGGCTGCTGGTGCTCCATCTAAGTGGACTGGTGCTCAATGCCTATGTGACCCACGTGAGTGAAGCTGGCAGGGCTGGGATAGGCGGCCTGGTTCTGGGAGGGAGAGATGGGCCTCCTCTACTTGGGCTGCCTGAGGGTGAGCTTGGGGCCAGGATCTCCCAAGGTTACTGGGCAAGGTTGGCCCATTTTTTAACCAAGTATCATGCCAAGTGACAGACACAAGCATGATTTAGACCCTCAGATAGGGACCGTCAGTCTCATCTGCTATAACCTCACCTGTCTTGCTCAGCTCCATGCCGAGTACAATCGACAGAAGGACATCTACCTAACACATCGTGTGGCCCAAGCTTGGGAACTGGCCCAGTTCATCCAGTGTGTGAGCCTGGGCTTGGCAGGGGAAGTGGGATGGGCCAGGGGTTGAGGGGTGGTCAGGGCACCACTTAAAGGAGGGCAGAGCCGGTTGGGGAAGAACTCCTGCCTCACCAACCTGGTTCCCCAGCCACACATCCAAGAAGGCCGATGTGATTCTGTTGTGTGGCGACCTCAACTTGCACCCGAAGGACCTGGGCTGCCGCCTGCTGAAGGAGTGGACAGGGCTGCATGATGCCTACCTCGAGACCCGGGATTTCAAAGTGAGAACCCGCCTGATTATTTCCATGCCTACACCCTCAGCTTCTCTCCTCTTTCTCCCCTACGTCCTAGCATGAACCATCTATTCACTTAGGGCTCTGAAGAAGGCTGCACCATGCTGCCTGAGAACTGCTACGTCAACCAGCGGGAGCTAGAGCTATTTCCGTTTGGCATCCGCATTGACTACGTGCTGTATAAGGTCAGGCCTGTTCCCTCAGTGTGTCTTCACCCACCATGTCTCTGTCTTTCACCAGCTTGTGCTCATCTTTCGTCCAGCTAGTCTAGTCTAGTCACTGATGGCTGGAGAATGGGAGGAGGCCCTCAAAGATGTTTCTCTCTGGCCCTGACTTTTCCTAGGCGGTTTCTGGCTTTTACGTCTCCTGTAAGACTCTTAGAACCACTACAGGCCACGACCCTCACAGTGGCACCCCCCTCTCTGATCATGAGGCCCTGATGGCTACTCTGTGTGTGAGACACAGCCCCCCCCAGCACACCCCCAGCCCTACTCATGGTAAGTCACCCCCACCCTCTCCCGGGGTCCCTCCCCACCACAAGGCAGCCCCTCCACTCTGACCCGCTCTCTCCTGCCCCACTGCCCTGCTTTATTCTAGGACCAGCAGAAAGATCACGGTTGGTCAGTATATTAAAGGAGGCCTGGATAGAGCTGGACCTGGGCGTGGCTCAAGCTCGCTGGTGGGCCACTTTCGCCGGCTACGTGATTGGTCTAGGGCTGCTGCTCCTGGCCTTGCTGTGCGCCTTGGCAGCTGGAGGAGGGGTGAGGGAGGTTGCCATACTACTCTGGACTCCCAGTGTGGGACTGCTGCTGGGGGCAGGGGCGGTCTACGTCTTCCACATGCAGGAGGCCAAGGGCTTGTCTGGGGCTCGGGCTGAGCTCCAGCATGTGCTGGGAAGGGCAAGGGAGGCCCAGAATCTGGGCACAGAGTCTCCGCCAGCCCTGCTCCTGCAGCAGGAGGGGGATGGAACTGAGGAACAATAAAGTTTGACACTTTTGTGGCTCTGCCTTTTCCTTGTAGAGGCAGTGATTGGGGCCAAGGGTCATTGTGACTGTCATAATATAGATGGCTAAGCTCCTACATGTCTACCCTCCCTGCACACCCTGCCTCCCACCTGCAGGCAGCCTAAGCCCTGTCTGTGGCAGAAACATTTTTATTGTAAACAGTGAGGCCTCCTCCCAGGCAGACCAGAGGAGCAGGGTAGCACAGTCCTGGGGTGAGGTGGTTTTCCGTGTAGGGATCTTAGAGGGCAGGCAGCCCATCCTCTTTTAGCCCTGGGCCCCCGGCTCCAAGGCCAGCTCACTGAGCCTGCGTTCCTCCTGGAAGCGGATAAGTTCATCTCGCTGGTTCACCACATCCACCAGCTTCTTCAGGAGCTGGTCCTCAGCCTGCCGATCGGCAGGGGTCTTTAGGGCTCCTGAAGAAGACAACAAAGCTTAGAGAACAGGGACTTGGGCAGGGAGGCAGGAAAGGCACAGCTTAATCCCAGCCTATGTGACTTCCACAATTTGGGCTTTGTTTCCTCATCTGTAAAATTGGGTCTGTCCACACCGGTGGTTTGCTAGCACCATTTTTATTTTAGTCTAGATTGATGATACGTACGATATATGTGCAATTTCTATGCCCAGCCTGGGGCTTGAAATCATGACCTTGAGATCAAGGGTCACACGGTCTTCCAGCTGAGCCAGCCAGGCGCCCCAGCAGCAGCACCATTTTTAAAGTAAGGAATCTTAACGTAAAAGCCCAGCTGTGCAGCCCTGACTGAACTGAAGGCAAAGTAGGGGCTTGGAGCCCCATTCTCTGGCTTCCTCCTGAAATGCCTCAGAGGCACTCGGACTAGAGGACCATGTGCTTGGTCAGTATCTGAGGTCATGAGGCTGTGTGTATGGCCCACCTACCTTCCTGGTTTACGTAGCTTCGTAGCTCCTGGTCCAGCTGCCACTGTTCCTCCTGCAGGTTCAGCTCTTTCACCCTGTGGAGGGCAGGGGTTGAAGAGTCACAGCTGTCCAGGGTGCCCGAGGACCCAGCTGGGGTCTGGCTCCGGTGCCAACCGTCACCACCCCCTGCCCCTTACGTGAGCATGAGCTCAGCTTCCTCCGCCAGTAGGCTGTTTTTCTTCTGAACGAGCTGTAGCAGCTGTTCCAGCCCCAGTGCCTTGTGCTGTTCTGGGGATCCTGACAGGAAGGAGGAATGGGCGAGGGGGGTCAGAGGTGTCAGGAGCATGAGGAGTGGAGCCTGCTGGGGCAGAGTCTGGTGGTTTGAGGGAGTGCTGGGAGGCGGAGGGATGTCGTAGCTTGTCCCTCCTGTCTTTACTCACTGCTCTGGCTTCTCAAGGCCAGCTCCACCTTCATGCCCTCAGCCTCCAGCTCCCCTAGAGCAGTCTCAATTTCATTTAGTCGCCGCTGGACAGCCTGAGGGGCACAAGACAGAAGGCCCAGGAGTCTCTGGACTGCTCAAGTACAGAGCTCTGGAGAAACCCCGATCCCGCGTCAGAACTCTGACCCCATCAGAACCGCGAACCCGTAGACCTCACCTGGGCCTTGCAGAACCGCTTCATCTCCTCCTCCCTAGCGCGGCGCAACAGAGTCCGACGCCATGTTGGGTACTTGCTCATGGTGCCTGAGTTCTTGGCCAAGGTCAGCAGAGCCTATGGCAGGGTCAGGCCAGTCAGCCTGCCCCCCCCACCCCCCCGCCGTTGGATAGGGGCTGGGGAAGCTCTGTTTGGAAGGGGTCAAAGCTTCCTGGGCTGGAGATACAGGGTAAGTTCTGGTAGAAAGACAGGCTTAGAGACCTGAGTCAGACTGGGTGAGAAGACATTCTGAGAGACAGGCTCAGAGGAGGGAGCATTCTATAGGTTTTTCCTGTGGTGGGCAGTGAGGCATATTTAGAGGATGTGTGCTGGCTTCAGCGGGATAGGTGGCCAGGTTCCTTCTCACCTCCTCCGTGTCTGAGTGCAAAGCCACGGTTTCCTCTGCTTCCTTTTCCTCCTCACTGGAGGAGGGACTCTGTTCCTGCTCCTCCTCCATGGTCACAACTGCACAGAGGAGTAGACATGGCCTGGGCCCCACGGCCTCCCTTTCCATTCCCCAGCATTCCCCTTTTCAGGAATCCCAGTACCACTCACTGCATCCCCACCCTGGGTGAGCACGTCTGGGCAAAGCAGGTACCTTGAGAGCTCTGGACTGGCATTCCCCAACCTACAAAGCTGCCCTCCAGGGCCTGGCGGGCCAAGGCCGAGCAGCTGCGGGGAGGCTTGGGTGGAGGCTCCAGTTCCGGGTCAGGGGTCAGATTAAGGGAGGACAGCCGCTGGCGTTCTGGGCTGGAGAGGCGGATCAGCCGGCGGGTAGGCTGGCTGGGGTTTGGGACAGGACTGGTCCCCTCCTGGGGGACGACAGAAGTTGAGGGCCCCGATGGCATGCTATTTTCATCCGGTGTGGGGACGTCCTGGAAAAGCCACCATGTAGTCTGGTCAGTGACCTGCCCATTGTGGGGCCGAGGCTGCCCTTTTAGACAAATGTGGACCCTGTATTCACCCATGTATTCATTCACTGATGCCGTTTACTGAACAGTGTTAGGCAGCGTTCGACACACTTGAGATACATCGGTAAGAAAAATCTCTGCCTTCATGGAGCTTTCCTTCCAAAGGAGAATATTCAGTTACCCCCAGCAAAGTCTGCTGGGCTTGGAGAGACCCCTTTACTCTTGCCCACACCCCAACACACAGTTTCATAGTTTTTACCTGACTCTCAGGGCAGGGGTCAGTGCCATCCTCTTTGGGACCTGTCTGGGGCAGGTGCTGGAGGCAGTAGAAGTGTCCTGGGCAGGGTGGAGGAGGGGAGAAGACATGAGCCGTAGGCAGCCCGATGCCCAGATACTCCGTTTATCAGCGAGGGCAGGGGTGACAGGACTTGATTTGCAGGTGAATTTCTGCTGGCCTCCTGGTTCCTTAGCCCCACATTTGGGGATTTGGAGGGGACAGAGAAGACCTTGAACTCAGGGCAAGAGAGTGCCATCTTGCGCCTGTTGCCACCTTGTGCCCCGGACCCCAGTTGCCCTCCAGTTTCAAGTTCCTTGCCCCCCGACGGCCAGGCCCACTTACCGTCTCCTGGGTGCTGCCCGTAGCCACCGGGCCACAGCATGGCCTCACAGCTGTGGCAGCGGAAGCAGCTCCGGTGAAAGAAACGGCCATCGGCACAGGAGCGTTCCAGGACGTAGAGGTGTTCCCCACAGAGTGCACACAGGTCCCCGGCACCAGCCTGCACCAACCCCCAGACCACAGGGTCCGCTGGAGTCAAGGCCAGTGGCAAAGATCGTCCTCCTCCTTGAAACACCCCTTCTTGCCCTCCCCAGGCCTCTGTCTGCAGACAGGGCCCACTTTCTCACCTCCTGGTGTTGGGATGGGGGTGTCGGGGGTACACCAGACTCCGGGACAGGTGGCTCCTCAGTACTTGGGGTCTTAGCCTCTACCTAAGGAGGTAAGTGTTCAGGGAGGGAGGTGGAGGAGCAGGAGGGGCTGGAGAGTGGCTATGTGTGCAGAACAGAAAAATCTGAAAGAAGTGAGCCAGGAAGGGAACCTGGATAGGGGGGTTACAGGATGCAGGAAAGAGCAGGGGCCTCTGTAGCCCTACATGCATTTACCTCCAGGCGCAGCTTCTTGCCACCAGTATCCTCCCCATTTTCCTGCAACAAGTCCTACACTCGGCATGGGGCTCTGAGCTACAGCCCTACTCCCATTAGGAATGTCCTCCCCATCACCCCAGGGACCCCCACTGCCCAGCTCCAACCCTGCCCAGACTCGCCACCTGGGCCCGGGTCCGTTGCAGGGTCCTCTGCAGTTTGCCAAGGAATAGCACAGCACTGGGGGTCCCGGGAAAGCCTTGGCTGGCAGGGCCTGCGGGGGGGCGGGTGTCCAAGTGGGTGGCGAATCAGTGCTGTATGTCCTGAACGGACAGCCACGGCCCAGCCCCGGGGTGCCGCTCCCAGCTGTCCCTCCCCCGCACCTACCCTCCAGGCCACCTGGGCTGTGGGGCACGTTCTTGAAGGTGCTATGGAAGTGGCTGAGGTATGCGATGAGGCCCAGTGGGTCGCTCCCTGCCACCACCGCCTTTGCGGACAGCATGGGCGTGATGCCCAGCTCATACTCCGCCATCTTTAGTGCCCAAGCAGTGGCTTCCAGGGCCCCCAGCCCTTGCAGCTCTGAGGGTTCCCTGTGGGGTGTCGGGGAGAAAAGCCAATGCGAGACCAGCACCTGACCCCACTGAAGGGGGAGAGGATGAGGAGTGAGCAGCGGGCAGGGGCTGGTGGGGCCCAAGGGAGGACAGGGCATGAGGGGTTTATGCTCTGCTATACACCCACCCCCCCGGCTCCCCACCCGCCCACCGACAACTTTCTGGCCTTGGGGGGCTCCCTACTGAATGCATCTGACTCCCACAAGACTCAGGGAGGGGCAGTGACTTGGGCACAAAGACTACCAGCAAGTGATGGCACTGGTGCCCTCAACCGGGGGTGACCCCTACACAGTGCCCCCCCCCGCCCCCGCCCCAGTCCCTGCTGCTGGAGGTGGGGGGAGGGGGCAGAGGCACGAGAGAGGTGTGGCCTGCCAGGGACTGCTGAGCCTGATCTGAACTCACAGCAGGCCGGGCCGCAGCCGGTGCAGCAGGGCGCACAGGGCCCGCCCGTCAGCCCAGGAGGAGGACAGGTCGGTGACGTGGACGCCCGGGTACCCAGCGGTCTGCTCCTGGCACCAGCGCAACAACTCCTGGCTGCCTGCCGAGCCCGAGAGAGGAGGCTGTGCTGCACCCCGGGGCGCCAGCTCCAAGCGCGCCCAGTGCCCGGGGCTCAGTCTGGGGGGGCGGGGGGGGGAGAGGCAGGGCCCATCCCTACAGGGGCACCAACTCAGTGCTCCCTGAGCAGCACTGCCTTCATCCCAGTTGTCTCCTGGAATAAAGTGGACGAACGAGTCAAGTGGTAGCACTGCTAGCCAGAAGAGGGCAGGAGGCT